AACGAAAAGAAAATATATTTTACCCACAAAAAAGAAAACAATATCGGTAAAATTGTCCGTGTATTTATGTTTTAACAGCTTCTGGCGGAAAAAAATCACTTGTTGCGTGACTCAAAGTTTGGCCGAGCGGAGGTCTGCGTCTGGTCACCGACAAAAAAAAAAAAAAATAAACCATGGGTAAACCTAGAACCGCACTCGGCCCATGGCCGCGCGGTTAATTAGTTTTAAGCATTCTCTTAGTGGATAGAGTCAACCACTAGTGTCAATAGTTCAATTTCCAAATTATATAAATTCTGAGATTCATTCATATTATAAAGAGACAATGTCTTGGCAGATATCATGTTTTAATATGCATGACTTGGAGCTTACTATAAAATTGCATTCATTTGATAATTTGCAGTATCTCTCCAGAACAAAGTGCCACTGAGAAGTAGCAGGGATGAAGAAAGTAGGGAACATCAACTTAAAACAAACAAACAAACAAACAAACAAACAAACAAACAAACAAACAAACAATAACTGCCAGAGAGATAAGATATATACCAGTATTTGGCAATTTTGACTTTTTGCCTTTCTGTTACAAAATCAAATTTAATGATGCTTCTTCTCTAAAATACTTGGGAAACATGTTCTGTTTTGGTCTGTAGAATCTCATTATCAAATTACTTGAATGTATATTTAGTGGCATTTAGCAGTGCCATATGCAAATAGAGAAACAGAACTTTTGATAATCAGCCATGACACTGTCACTTTAGAATGTTCCACCTACACGTACTGGCTATGTGCGTTCAAGACTGTGTAGATTCTTTCAAATTTGATCCCGAAATTGTCATTGGAAAAAGTTTAATTTTACAGTAGCATACTCTATTGTACTGTTAGCCAATTAAGAAATACAGTGCAAAAGATGAAGTTAGATAAAAGGTAAAACTATTTCTATCATGGAAAACTCTTACTTGAATCTCTGGATCAACATTACCAGTTGACAGTTCAACTCGTGGCATGTCCGAGCCACTCTGCTACTTCTGAGTTGTCTATGTTCTCTGTGCAATGGACTTCGTTACTCTAGGAGCCTTGTGCTTTCTTGTGTTTTGTACGACCAGATGTAGGAGTTGGTGATGATCTCTGGAGTACTGTTACAGATGAACCAACAACTTCCTTTTCTTTCAAAGTCTTAAAGAAAAAGCAATTAATGTATGTTCATTATTTGTCAGCCATTGTCATTGTCATCATCACCACTGCCCCTCCTGTGGCTTGGAATCCTTTTCCACCAGTATAAATTATTGTTATAGTTTTTGGGAGAATTTCTTATGGCATTTGCTCTCATAGTGGATGCCTAGATTAGCTCAGCTATCTGCGGGCATGTTACAATTGTAATTTTAATTTGATAACAAATAAAATGTATGTATGTATGTAAAAAATGTACGTATGTATGTATGCTGTGAAAATTAACTTTTCCATCCCTGTTCATGCCATCTGGGCTGGTAGACTTGACATTTACTAGCATCAACCAGGTAAAGCCCTTAATCATAACTGTAGCTTAGCTAATGGGCTGGAATGAAGGAAAAGGCCATCCCTGGTGACAAGGCACCACGTATTTTTCCACAGGTTAGATTCTGAAGTGTAATATATCAATGTGTTAATACGTCGAGCTTGTTCTTGAGGGAAATCAAGTTGTGACTCATTCAAAAGGTAAAATGTGGTGTCAAGGAACAAGTAGTAATGGTTGTATTTACAACATGAGATGCATGAAAGGTGATCGTTATTTTCACTGTAGGTGTAAGTTTAACCACCAGTAATCACAAGTTCTTATTGGAATATACAGAGTGAAACAATCACTTACCCCACGTGATGTGATACATAACACATCATCAATACGTACAAATGCACCATAGTTAGGTGGGCAGGAGAAATACTGAACTCCATCCAGAGATCCACTGTGTTGACCAACTGAAAATTCAGTAAAGGTTAATACACATGGATCTATGTCTGGGATGATGTGAAGATATTGTAAGTCAATTTTTACTATAAGAGTGGCTGGGTTTACTGTGGACATTTATTCTTTGGAGAAGGTTAATAAATCAGATCCTTGCTAAACGTTTCATACAGTGTTTGCAATTATCAGACCTTAAGCAAAGTATTACTTCTTTACACTGATTGTAAGTTTTGAGGATTCTGACCATGACTAATCCTGTATCATAACCAGAGCTTCAGAAGCCCACTAATGTGTGGATCGTGCAAGAAGAAAATAAATGGTGTGCAGATATTGAACTATTATTCTGAAGGTTTTGATGTCTAGAATTCAGACAAACAGGAGAATACCTTACAAACAGAAATTACCTGGTGAATCTAAGTGAAGGCCAATGTATGACTGCTTTTCTCCAGTAAGTGGACCAATGTACTTAACTTCACCTGGAGACATGAACAAATCCAATAAGGAATAGAACCTAACAGATCAAGTACAGTCCATTGAGGCAAGCCTCTACTTTAGCAATATAATGTAAATTGCCCCGTATATGGCCCCCTTGCACCATCTACCTGTAAACAAAATGTTACTTTCAATTATAAGCCCCCCTCTAGTTTAAAATTTAGATTAATAATTATGTTTTAAGCTTAATTAAAAACCAGTTAATGCTGTAGCTCATTTCCAAACGGTACCATTCATCCCATATGAAGTGCTATACCAGTTACGTCTATGAACAAGCAAGTGATGTCATTCCCCCCTTTTCCTTTAAAGCTGAGGTGAGAGTGAGATCTAAAGTAATGTTTCAAAGGCTTTGAGGCATCCTTCTGCACATGGGCAGTTGCTTCAAATGATATTTGGACTGATGGTCCAATTTGCAAAGTTGGTGTGGTGAAGAAAATCCTAATTCTATTTATTTTGGTGGAGCTGTGAAAGTTATAGTAACAGTCTGCAATAAAACAATACAATACAAATTTTATTAACACTCCTCAGGGGGCTTTTTGGTGTATTATTTGCCACTTAGGGAAGGTTTTCACAGCATATTTTATATTTTTGACCCAAGGTCATAGAGAAGTTTGATGCCCTAGAGGGAGTGTATAAAAAGCAGCTCACTCTATACATTCCATACTCCTCCTGTTGTACTTGTCTACAACAGGTAAAAGGTGGGATAATGAGGTTTTCAAAGACAAAATATGTATTGCAAAGCTGCACATTCCAGAAAACAAGAAAATAATCTCAGTAGATGCATGGTACTGAGATATATGATTTCTATTTTTTAAAAAAACTTGCAGTGCCAATCAAAGTCATATACACTATCATGACACAAGCCCTCAAATGTCATTTTTGATAAACAAGAGAATTTGAAACACACTGACTCTGTATAGATTATAGGGAGATTAATCTAAGAGTTGGGTAACTCTTTCCTGACTACTACGGCCTAGGTGGGGCCATTATAGGGATATCTCATTTACCGGCAACTGAATCTTACCTGTGAGGTCAGTTCTTGCAACCACATGGTCACCGAGACATGGCAAAATCTCTGATCTGGTAAAAAGTGAAGGTTATTAGCAAAGTTCTCTTCTTAAACTTTCAATAACAAGTTTGTTCTGTCTTCAGACCTCTTGAGAATGAAGTCCATGGTAGTGTTTGCTCTCTTTTTAGACTACATTAGATGTGTAACTCAAGGCAACCATAAGCACATACTGTTTTGGAGATTTCTTGTCTGTGTGACTTTTGTCACACCATGTTGTCACACTTTCTTCAGCAAGAGCTCTTATACAGCCAGGACACTTGCACTGCGAGTACATCTCAATGCATTTGACTGGCTGGCGTTGTACAGGTGGATTCTAAATCAACAAAACAATAGCTGAAGTACAGTGAACACCGTCGGGACACTCACTAATGTCTGCTTAATATGGGTGTCTGCTCTAAACAGGTTCTAATATATTGTGCAATAATAGTTAATTATTAAATTATTTATACTAATTATTTAATAATTATTTTATTTTTCTATAATAAAGTATTTTAATTATATAAATTAATTATTTGTATCACAATGTAAGATCGAAGACTGCTCATAGCACAATGTCCAGTCAGTCACTGCATCAATCTGATAATCTACTTAGTTTTAAAACAACATTGCTGAACAATGTTAAAGGATTCTGCTGAGCTATTAGAAGTACAAAGTCCTTGAAGTGTCCGCTTATTGCAGCTTTTGTGGAACAAAATGGTTAAAATTTATGTTGCTGTCTGTGTCCACTTAACAGAGGTGTCTGCTGAATGCAGGTTTATTTTACAGTAAATGTGAATAGAAAATTTAGGAACTTGAGCTGGTGTCCACTTAATGGAGGGTGTCTGCTTAATATGGGGTCTGGTTAATGCAGGTTTCACTGTGTCACTCCCTGAGATTTCAAGTTCCTGAGTACTGTAACCAGTCACAAATTGTAGATTAAACAATCTACAATCTTGTAAATTCTCTTAGTTGTTTACAGTAGTAGAAATAAACTGTTGTTGTATGTCAAGAACAATTAATAATAACACTTTGCATATTTTATCTGACAACTGGGATGCATTTGTAAATATTGGAGTACTCTATCAAATAGGATTCAATGAACAAGTTGTTTATACACTTACTGGACACATTTTAACTGGAGATGAGGAAGGTCTGAATCCTCTCTTTCGTTGTTGATGAACACAGCTGTAAAACAAGAAATGCAGTTGAAGTTTCAGTCTGAAAGGTTGAAAAATTACTTTAATTTACCATTATATATTGCTTTGCTTTCTAGAAAGGAATTGACTGGCACTGGTCATAAAACCTGTAAAATGCAGAGACTTACATCTTTGGTTTATCATCTTGCATTTCCCCTTGAGCTTTTGTTTGCGGAATTTGTGGCAATTCTATTTCTTGGTTTACAGGATTCTGTAAAGAAAGTTAAAACCACGGTAGTTACTTTGCTCATACCCTACTAGTGAATTTCTGGGATAAAATTAACTTTCACTTGTTCTTCAGGACATAAAATGGAAGAAGATGTGACCTACCTTTACTGTTTGCCTTTGGGCTGGAGGTACTGGAGAGCTAAAAATTAATAAAAGATACACAATTGGGTTTATGAGCCAGAACAAGAACCATCCCAAGCAAGAGTGATCATGACAAGTGCTGTCTTTGTAAAATTATGTATTAGGACTACATGATGTCCAATTTGAAAATGAAGAAAATATAATTGGAGGACCAACAAAATTGGGCGAGGCTGTACGAAGGCCATGTCCAATTTGGTTGTTAGAGGAATTTTTTGACTCCAGTTTTTTTACTCCAAAGCAGAGACATGCACATTCGTCCCACTTAAATTGATTATGTTGTGTACGACATTGTCCAAATTACTAGTTAATTTAGACATTATCTGAATTAAGATAATGAAGATGTTTAAACTTACATATTTTTGCCCTTCGTTTGTTGGTCATGGTGTTTTGGTGCGGCTGGTTGACTGACTGTGTGTAAAGGAGTTTGGCTTTCTGTTATCATCTGCAAAATTGTAAATAGTTCTAAGATCTATATGAATCACATTTATTCCCTGAGCACAAAATTCAACATCTCTTAGTAGTTAAATTACCATACAGGATGCTTATGACATTACTGATCCTACCAGCATGCAGGATACATGCCACATGGTAAAGCCTAACTGAGCAAAAGTAAAAAAAACACTCATGGTGAATACTTGCACTGTCATAGAGTCTTTCTGTAGCTCAGTGATTACAGAGTCTACCTGGTGTCTGGGTCATGGGTTAAACCAGCCATGGGGACTGACACATTTTTCTTTGGACCACTCTTATGGGATGCTGAACATGTCATCTTTCATAAGATGCCCATTGTAAAATGGTGAGAAAATAGTGATGGACTTGGACTAGCTAGTTAACGCCATTGAGAACTTCACTTCACTACTTAAAGTACATTATTAAACTTACTGGAAGTAGAGAATGTTTCTTCTTCAAAACCTAGAAATACAAAGATGTACAATTACCATAATCCATTCATACCGTCAGTCATGCTGCCTTGTAGTGCATGCAAATGTGCTGTTATGTGTGGCTGCCACTAATTACTGAACACACTTAGAGAAATTAATTTGTATTGACTCGTGTGACAAACTAAGATGAAACTTAAATTCTGATAATGGCACAATACCAAAACAACCTAAACTTGTTTAAGAAATCATCACCGCAATGGTGCTTGGATATCTGATCATAGTTAGCATAGCTTTTGATGATTTTTAAATTTTGCCAATTTCTCCTCAGTTTCGAGTTTAGTTGAGAAGATAAATCAAACACTTGAAATGGGGTTTTACCACATTTCCAAATACATTGGATAAAAACAAGTTGGATAAAAATGCCCTACTGGCATTGTATTAATTTTCACTGTTTTTCTCTGTGTTTGGAAATGACGTGAAGCACATTCTTTCATGATTGATATATAACCGGAAGAAAAGAAGAAAGATGACAACATGTACCTCCTGTTCACTCATACCATTCTGCAACTCTTTTCTTACATCTTGTTCTGAAAAAAAAGGTGAAAAAATTGGCATTTGGCTTTCTGGCTGTTGAGTTGCTGTTGCTGAATGACTTTCCAGCAAAAGACAACATTATTATACAATAAATTCCAAAATTTAATGGTACACTGTATGTCTGTGATATATAATGTATGTGTCAGGCAAAGTGGTCTATTCTGTCAGAGCTTATCCCGGTTTTCAAAGCATTAAGTGACTGATAGATAAGAATATTTCTAATTCCTCTTGGATGGGATGCTAGTCCATGACCTCAGCCAGAGGGCTTGATCCTGGACTGCTCAATCGAAAGGCAAGCACACACTCCACCATCCACTTGCCTGTAATATGCTCACCAAATACTGTATACCAAGAACTACCATGGAGTTCAGTACAGGATGAAGCGCTTGATTAACAGTAATTTATCATACACAAGTATATTTAAGATAATTTCTGTTTCCTACCCCTATCAGCTGTGTCCTTTACAAGGCTCCATTCTATATCAGCACCTGATATTTCAGTCTGAGAGGAACGGTGACTTGAACTTTTGACATGGATTTCCTTCAGGAGTGGACTTGTGCTGCGATCAGTTAAGACTGGCTGAACCTGGGTAGTCTACGCAACAAGGTAAAGAATGAAGCAGCATTATTATTGAATGAAACTTGCACTATATATCTAGGGTCAAAGAGAACATAAATTATGCGAGGCTTCATATCAAAAATATCATCAGATGTGATTCATGCACAAGTGTAGCACTTCTTGTAAGCTTGTAATTCTTTTTCTTGTTCACAGCTGGGGCTTAAGAGGCATTGTTTCTGTTCTATTGTCCTCTCAAAGGGTATTAAGCCATTCATGTGAGACCTTACGACAGCTGCTACTCGACCTGATTCATACGGACTATTCAAGGACTTCTCCAGGACAGTTCACCAATATTTGTGGAGCCCAAGTTCCTCAGAATCACTGAAGTAGGTACATTCTAAAGGTTGCCACACAAAATACAGCATACTCTAGACCCCCATTGGGGGCAGGATACTGAACACATAATCATTTAACACCTGTCTCATCAAGATCAACTTTTGGAGTCCTTCTTACCTGTACAGTTTATGTTGATATTGGTTTTTTCTCATTATTCATGGCCTAATCGTCAACAAAATTCAATGTTACGGGAAAAAAATCTTTATCAAAGAGAAAATCTAGATTCGTCATCTTCAAGGACTTTTCAAGGATATGGCAGTTTTTCAAGGACTTTTTAAGGCCTGCATGGACCGTGTTAGGGTTATTGATGAGCAATTCCTGAAAAAAGTAGATGTACATGGTCAACCTCAATAGAACAGTTCCCCACGGTACAGGATCCATGAGAGAACAACCCTTCTCCTGAATCATGACCATCTCAATCCACCCACGACTACAGCTGACCAGTGTGCTGTATGTCCCTCCATTATGGAGGTAACCAAGTTACTACAACCACGATAAATAGGCTTACCTTGGTCTGTGTTGACCGTCGTATATGTAACCCGTTTGATTCTGTGGAACTCGAAGACAAAGTGGACTGTGGTGAGCTTTTCTTAGAACGAAGTAGAAGATCTAGCTCTCTCCTTAGCATAATAACACGACGCTCCAAGCTGCAAAACAAAACATAAAGAAATAAACAAAGTTACAAGCAGCTTCCTGAAAAACAGATGGCACCAAAATGCAGTCCTAAATCATGGCAGGCTTCTGCAATCCTAATCAATCATATCCGCACATGAACTTTTTTTTATAAAAAAGAACTTTCCTTGAGATGGTCAAACCAGGCAGGCAAATTGCCCTCATAGCCAGTCATTTTGCCCAGTGCCAAGCCCTTAATGAAATCCCAGGTTTGATTGTTTGCAAAGAAGTCTCAGAAGATGCTAAATGCAAGTAACGTTTTGAGTTCTTGATTTTGAAAGTACTTTAGTGCATTAATAAATAAAAAGAAATAAATAAATAAATTAAGCACTTTGATTTTCCCTCCCACTTCCCACCCATTTATAACTCCTGCTTCCCTCCCTTTCTCTCACTACCTCCTGTCCCCTTCCCACCTGCTATTCTCCTGAGCTCCTGACACAACTGTACCCCTAGCTAACTTATCCATTGAATTCAAAAAGTCAAGTATGGAATAGGCAATTTGCCTCTCTATCGAAAAGAGTCTTTGTGTGAAACCATTCATATGAAAATGTGTTTCCCATACAGGTTCATTTTCATGCAAATCAAACTCATTTTCATATGAAAGGTTTTGGACGAGGACTCAAGATGAATTTAACAAGGAAAACCTGCACTTTAGAGGCTGAAACTTCGGTGAGTGGCTAAACTTACTGCAAGGTTTTTATTAACGTTGACAAAAAATATTAGTTTTTTGGAGTGAACTTCTCCTTCAGAAATGGTAGAGTAACGTATCACATAGATTTGGAGGTCTCTACGATTTTTTAGTTGTCATGGACGACTAGACAACTGCAAATATGAATCCCTGTTTACTTCATGGTATGCAGCAATTGTGTCTTGGGCTAGTATCTAGTATTTAAAATCATAACAAAGTGCTACATGAAAAATGAGATGTAAAATAAAGATCTGATGATCACTTAACCATGGTGTGCAGCAGCAATTCTCTTTATCACAACCATTTTTTATACTTCCGAGTGACCTTTTGATAAGGAAGAAATTCAATTAAAACGGATTGTTATCTTTGAATCTTGCTACAAAGGCACACTCAATACAATTTAATTCCAAAACACACAGGAAATTCCGTACTTCATTCCAGAAGAGTTTGTGCCTCAAATGCTTGGACTGTAATAGGAAGGAAATAAATGATTGTGAAATAATTGAGCTTTAACAGATCTAAAGCAGCTTAAAAGTTCTTATTAAGTTGCCTTTTCCCTAAGAAATGACATCATTAGTTTGCTTGATATGAAAATGTTTGCTTTCCAAGGCAGATGTAAAAGCGGAAACCACCCAGACTTGTGACCCTTAAACAGGTTATTGCCAGAGTTAAACGGATACAGTAACTGTTCATACTCCTCCTAATAACATGTAGCATAGAGTGCCCTCCAGAAAAATAGAATGAAGCTAAATAGGCAAATTACAAAAGAACGGCACACATCACTAACTGTGAATGTCTCTGCAGTTGAACTCATTACCATCATTTAAGAGAGATGAAAAATTTTAAACAGCATGACTCTTGAATGCAATTAGTAAGGTTGATTCACAGACATCACTTTAACCTGTGGAAACAGTAGACGTGTTTGTCTGCAGGTAGGCTAATGCACATAACCTTTGTCCTGCACATGCTTCGACTAAGCCAGAAAGTCAGGAAAGATTCATAGTTGTAAACAAAAACCACTTTAACCAAGCAAAGAAGCTAAACCATTCGGAGGATTTATTGGCTCAAGTAATATGCACCACAATACTTACAGCTACAATAGAGAAGGACATTACAGTAAAGTAACACCAAGTGATTATAAGATGAGCCCTACTTCAGGAATTGCAAAAAAAGAAGAGAACGATTGCATGTGTATACCACATACAGAGATAACCTTTTAGTCTGACACACTATCTTCTTCGACAACAACAACAAAAAAAAAACAAGCTGAACAATTCAGCTCTTCAGGAAAAAAGAACCGCTGGAACATTTTTACTCTTGACTAGGTCTTTAATCCAAGAGGAATCTTTAGTTTGATTGTACTTCTACACTTCTCTATGCAAAAAATAAGCAAATGAAAATGATTTTCCAAGCAACACTGCTAATGCTAAAGAAAACAAAATGGTATTAAAATAATTCAAGTTAAAGACTTTTAATCTTACTCTTGAACTAATTTTTAATCTACAAGATGTTTTAGTTTTAACTGGTCACCTATCACAGACTGCATTCATCCTCCAAGCTACAGAGTGCTTGATTGATACAAGTTAAAGGGATATTCCTAACAGAGATAACAAAGTACTGGGCAAGCCCATCTGACAATAAATTGCCTCATATCTCCTGCTGCTAATGGTCTATTGGCAACACCTTTAAATAAGACTATTTTGTTTATCAAATGTTTTCTAAAACAAAGCTAAAGCTTCCAAATCTGGCTCTTTATGCCTCTTTATGTTTTCTGGCACTTCTTTATAACACTAAGAGGGTTTTGTAAAAATTTTGTAAAAAAAGATTTATCTCTCATAGTGACCCCCTCTTCATTCCACTGGAAAATGAAAGAATCCTGAGAGAGGTCTTCTACCTGAGGAAAATAGGGCTAGGGTTAATTTAAACCTACAATCTTCAGCTCAGGAATGATACAGGGTGTAAGTAGAGCTGTGAAATGAATTTGATACAACAAAAACAATAATATACCAACAAAGAGCTATTGTAGAGATCCTTGGCATAACCTAAGCCATGATAAAAATACCACATGTCTGGGTTGAAGATCAATTGTCTGGTTCATAGCAGAACTAACAATTAACACATGTGCAAAGAAATGAAAAATTAAAGAACAAAGTATCATCTGTTGTGTAGAGCCTCAATGTATGTTATGGAAGAGAAAGCTACCTAGCCTGTGAAATATTACAAAGAAAAAATTTTCCCTAGACGGAACATCTGGTCGGTAATGGATATCTTTGCTTTTAAAATATCATATTTGTTCAAAGTACAGCTTATTGTTGTGAAAACAGGAACATCCCCTTTGACCTTCATCCCCAAAATACAATGACTGTTTGATCCAAGTGATTGTCAAATCCTGAATATTGCATATTGAATGAGGTGAGTTCTGGTACAAAGCAACTAATCACACTCAGGAGCAACAGCCTGTTTTGAATCTGCAAAATTCTTCAAAACACAGATGAATGACCAAATAGAATTGAAAACAAGATGGTTTTCTTTCCTTATATTCTTGTGACCAACATAAAGTTAAACCAAGTGAGCTAAACTGTACTTGTCTAATCAGGGGTTGGAAGTGATAATCAAAATAATCCTTTGATCAACAGTATCATTTTTGCCCTTGCCACTCCCTCTCTTTAAACAAAGGGAAGCCTTGTTTGTATTTTGCGGTGGGGGGGGGGGGGTGGGGGG